TGGAAAATTTTAAGGTGAAAGCTAACAATATACAAATTTTCATTGACGAAATGCTAAAACTTTAACTCCACAACGAGCCCAGCCTTTATTAGTATTTTCATTCCCCCACGAATTACCTCAATTTGGGCTCAGCAAAAACGATTTTTATTTTATGGGGAAAAAGGAAAAAAAGTCCCACAGGTCTTCAGGACTTTTTATTCTAACCACTAACGCTTCAGTCCATCCAGTATCTCCCCAAACTATTGGGTGGGTAGCCCCAAGCACTTAGTACACATACGTATGTGCCTCGACCGTCCTCATAATCTGCGTCAATATCTAAACCATTAGAAAAATTGTAGGACAAAGATCAGTAGTGTTTAACAAGTTTTACAATTAAGACGTAAAACCAACGTTCGCTAAAGTATTAAAAAATTATAAAACTGGATTGTTAAAATTCAATATTATTTTTTGTTACGTTTGTTAATGATTAATTCATTAGTATTATTATTAATTATTATTGTTAATTTTGTGGTTAAATTTATAATAATATTTTTTTTTCATATTCTATTGTATACATTTACGTAGAAAACAAAAATCTTGTTTTATTTTGAATAGAACATCCTCTAAACAACTACATGGTTATCTTTATTTCCACTAACAAGGATGTGAAGCATAATTAATGGATCAAACGACTTACCTGAAGGAAGTTCGATCCTAATTATGTGAGATCCTTGTTAGTGGAAATAAAGTCCCACCTCCACCATATTTATATTATTTTTAACTCCAAAGTCCTGGGCTCCACAACAGGTAATGAGTAATGTAGTACAGGCAGCGATAGAGTCACGTAAAATTTTAAATCTAAACATGTGAGTCAGCGGCGTAACATAGGTATACTACATGGTTATCTTTATTTCCACTAACAAGGAAGCTCACATAATTAGAATCGAACTTTTAGGTAAGTCGTTTGATCCATTAAATCTTTAAGCATAATGCCCGAAGATTTTAATATAATATTTTTAATTTTAGTGTAGGAATGTCATACTCGCACGCAAAATCGTTGAAGAATGAAGCTCATTCTTAAATGATTAATGGTGACTTTTTTTGTGACATTTCAGTTGACATTCACTAATAATTGCCAGTGGGAAGTGTAACCTACCAAAAGGTCTAAGCAACATCCAATAGAGAATTGCCTAATATTAAACTTTAAAAATAAAAAAAATAACCTTAACAATAAAATTCTATCTACTCGGTTACACAAGTTTCGGTTGTTCCGGTGTCAACCTTCGGGCCTTCGACGTCGCTCATACGGCAGCTAGGGGGTGGATAGCTAATAAAAATTCCGGAAAAAGTAAACAAATTATAGACGCCAACTGGGTCTATATAGTGGCCAAACTACGCTCCTATTTCCCCACAAACACAATAAATGAGGAATGAAATAAAAAAAAACTCAACTTATGTTCCTTTATAAAAAAAATTCCAATTTTCTCATTTAATTTACAACAATCTTCAAATTATTTAAACAAATTATTTACTTAATGTCTTTGATAAATTATAAATAAATTAACATAACCAAATTTAGTAAGAAATTAAAATAAGTATATGTAATATGCATGACCCAAAAGAAAATAAATTCACCGACAGCTTGCACGGTTGGTCGTTAGCTTGGTACCAGGCGAAGGACACTTGCGCAAGATGTATGCAAATATAGTGAATTCTTAATTTCTACCATTTACAATTATGAAATCAAAAATATAAATAATGTGCACATCCGCACCTAAATCTAAATATCAACATTCAATGTTGAAACACAGTAACCATTCAACATTCTTTAAATTGGAAGAAGTTACCTACTTAACTTTAAGTTAAGTCCAAATTATTTTGAGTCTAGTTGAAACCGTTTATCTCTGGAGTGAAAACCCTCCGGGTAAAAATACAACCCTTAAAATATTACAAAATGTGTCAATATAAATTGACTAAAATTTCCCAAACTATACAATTAATTTTCCCAAAATGCATTTAAGCTAAAAACTGTTAACAAGAGTCATAAACAGTATTATGAACTCAAATAACTAAAATTCTGTTACACCAAGTCATAACATACAAGAAATCGACAATCAAAAGGTGTGTAATATTACCAGAAATATATACAAAACATACCTTTTTTGTAAAGGGTTAAACTGGATGAAAAACAAGCGAGACAATCCGGCAGCAATCAACTATTGAAGAATCCACTTTAAAAACGCAAATTCCAAAGGATCTCCCTACATGGAACAACGAACTAATAACTCAAAAACTATTGAAATTATTCATACTCATAATTTTTTCGTCTTTAAATCCGTTTTAGCGGTATGAAATGGATCTAAGAAAACATGGGAATTATCCAAACAACGAAATTCCCCAAAAATAATATACACCCGTTCTTCCACAATTAATACTGGATTTAAATCTAGGAACCCCTCTAATAGGATAGCCACTATCGCTATATAAAATGCAGGTTCTTTGCCTTCTACCCCTCTCAAAAGCACATGTCAGGCACACCTTACCAACAAAGCTGGCCCTATCTTCACTTCCGTTTTTGGAAAATGACAAGCCGAGTGGGTTCAGAAATTTATCTTTAAGAATTCACCAGTACATATTTTAGAGACTATTTACGAAAACTTTCCCTAGGAACTATATATACTTAATATAATTACTTTTGTACATTTGGAAATTGTTACTGACAAAAATCCATAACACGTTGGTCGCAAAACATCTTCTAGGCGCGTATAACCCTATAGTTAAACGAACGCACCTCGTACAACGATATCATTACTTGGAACTGGAAACCAGACTAAACGACATGACTCTGTCAATTATCGTGTCCCGTTGTTGACTGACAATTAACCTAACAACTTCATACTGAAATTAAAATAATTATTCTTCTGAATAAGAATTAAACAAATTCGGTGAAATTGGTATCGAAGATAATTTGTTACCTAAGGGTAAGGTTATAATACATAACGTAAATAAATTCGCAACAAGACTGTCTATTTTTAGGAGAATCTAACACATTGAAAATCTCCGAAAAGGTATAACTCAGACAATTTGAATAAAATACGAAACCCCTGTCCAGTGATACGTAAAAACAAATTATAATAATATTTGAATGCTAAACAATACATACAGCCAGTTCACGACAAAAATAATGGTTTTTAGAAGCTTGTCAATAACAAATTACGGATTACCTTTTTTCCGTATATTTAAACAAGGTGCACGGAAAAAATCTCCACTGAGTTCAAGGTTACGTATCTTGGTTTAACGCCGAACTAATCTTAATAGTTCTCAATAAGAAGTTATTCTTACAATAAATACAAACTATTTCTTAATCTGAGTATGCGATATGTCGTCAACAAGAATAACATAACTTAGTATAAATTCACTGTAAAATTATATAAAGACATTGTACATATTTGAACCTAGTAAGGTTCTATACTTAATGCAAAAATAATTTTTAAATCTACACAAAAATAACTTTATCTTAAATAAACAATAACTTTATTTAAGTTAATTAAGAGAATTAGTTCATTGAAAAAAAACATATCCTTTGTCCAACACCTCACTATATACTTGCTATAAGAATAAGAAAGCACTTGAATGTAATTCATATAACATTTAAGCAAAATATAGTATATATTTATTGTAATATTATTTCAGTATTTCCGCAAATGTATATGTCGCTTGCAACAAATAATCTTATTTTTTGTAACAAAAAGAACCTATTATTTAGTTGAGTAATTATTTGCCTTGCATATTATTTTGGTTCTTGTTTAGTTGTGTCCATAAAGAGGAGTTCTGGTTTGCCGGTTTCTCTTAAGCAGTCAGTGATACTGAAAAAAAAAAAAATGAACATGAGAAAACATTTTCATTTAACATTGTTTACATGGCTTTCAGCGGAACGTCCCCACCTCGCCTGCTGCGTGCTTACGTGGTTTTGAGCAGCGGGCGAGGACGTTCCACCCACTTTCATAATTTGTTCAGTATTTCTGATTACATCAGAACCTTGCTTAAGCCTCTAATTCCAGAAGTAGTTCCATGATTTAATTCGTATAAAACCAGAAATTTTTGACCAAAAATGCAAACTCTCCTATTTACTGTGCGTCCCAGACACAAGCTCAGATCGGAAAATAACTTATTGATTATATTTGAGGATACGTAGGTAAAAAAAACAACAAATACATATAATACCAAAAATATTTTTTATTCAAATTCAAAAACAAAGTAAATAAAGCAGCACTGAGGCATTCTAATATATTGCTTAATATATTAATAAAAAGAACATAATGAAACAAAAACAAATCAACAGATTTTTACAGTGTTGCCTTACATCAGTTGTTTAGCCCATCTTTAACAAAATGCATTGCCCTGAGGCTACCACTACTGAGAATAAGAAAATTATAAAAATAAAACAAGTGTCTGCTGCATATAGTACAGGGTGGGCATTTCATTAGGGGCTTATATACAGTATGTCTATTACTTAAGTAGGAGGTAGTCATATGGAAAACTTATTTCTGTGGTATTCTGATAAAATATTGTTTAGGGTATAATACTCCAAAATGGCACTACCAAATGGTGATACCTTGAGCAAAATTTTTAAATCGAAATCTATGGGATTTCTGCCATTTGCAGAAGTAATTGTTCCTCCCCATAAAAGGTATGCAGACACTATTATGTTCGGGAATTAAAATTAACTTCATATTTGTTATAGTCTCGCCGGTTATAGTGCCATCACTAGCGGCAATAAAATTCCATGTAAATTAGTAAGTTTAAAAAATTAAAACGACTAACTTTTTAAAATATTATTTATATAAAAAATTGCTAATAACTTAACGTTTATTGGATGTTACATTTTCAGTGCCATGCAGCATGCAGTGAATTATGTATGTAGGTATATCTAAATAATTTTCTAACCTACAACGTTTCCATATACCTACATTTTTAAAAATATATTATGGGACAAGTACAAAAAAATTAAAAATGCTTACCACTGGCATATTTTCAACCGCATGGTCTTGAACTGCTGGGTCTTGAGTAATAATAGGACTTTCCCAAATATTTTCGATATTTTCATCATGATTTTCTCCAAGGGAATCATCAGGCTGAGATGGAATTGATGGCAAATCCATGTATTTTTTCTGAAAAGGATGTTGTTTTCCTATATCTTGACATAAAAAAATGCTAGACCAGACAAACCATAACCTATACTAAACATAGGCAGGTACTGATTTTTTTGTACCTAACCGAAAATCTAATATTTTTTAAATTTCTTTGACATGATGAAGTGCCAAGACTGCAAGGTAATGCAAAGCCCGAAAATCGCAAAAACGACGAACGACGTTCGACGTTTCTATCAAATTTAGAGCATAAGTTATTTTTGTTTCGTTTGCACTGTAATGACACTTTTATAGGAATTGTTATTTGCTTCTTGATGAATATATCACCCAAAAATAAATAAATAAATGCCGAATACCTCTTTAAAAAACCTAATGCATGCTATAAGCAATAAACACTTACTTAAGGTTTATATGGACCCCCGGAAAAAGTATCTACACGTTCAAAATTTTTGAAAAAATGTGTGATTGTATATACAACCTTAAGTATTATTTTACCAAAATTTGATCCGGTTTGTATCATTTGTTCTCAAGAAAAATCGGAAAATTTACTTTTTTACAAGTATAAAACAAAGAAACTAGACTATCAAGAGAGATCATTATTTCATAAAATAAATTAGTTTTGGTTAAGAAACTTACATAAATTTTTTGAAAATTTTTGAACTTGCAGAAATGACGTAATTGAAGAATATATTTATTTTATTAACAAAAATTAGATTTAAACTATAAAAATGAATGTAATATTAAAGAATATACCTTCAATAATTATATTTAAAGACATTGACCTCAAAACATTAATAAGTTTTTTATAAATTTAGTGAAAAATTCAATTAAACAATAACACTATTTTGAATTTTCTCTTTCAAAGTCTCATCTCTGAGAGGTGCTGCCATCTCAATTAGTACTTTCTAAAATTGCTCACAGATAGCACTAAATTTCCTACTCAAACAGAAATTTCGGATGTCCGCGTACACCAACGCTACCGTGTTGCCAGATCGAGTTGTATTACTAAGTTCGCTGGATTAAATAAATATTTTTCGCCAAACCACATAGATTATATTGTTCTAATTTTATACCATATTTTAAGGATAATGCGCTCACCCTAAATAATTTTATTTCAGTAAAGTTCATAGTTGAGAATGATTGAGCGGACCAGTGGAAGACTTAACAAAAGCTCGCCAGGTCATATCCATCTCTTAGCTGGATCGCTTAGGCCGTCCGCGCTCAACACCTCACCTCCCGCGGCTTACAACATAAATAAATAAACATAATTATATTGAAGTTTGGCAACGTTCTTCGCATCGAATCATAAAGATCTCCCGCGTAATCTATTATTGTGCTAGCAGTCTCTTTTGGCGGCGATATAAACTAACGAAATATTATTCTATCACAGATAGAACTCTGTAACTTTAATAAATTGTATACTAAATTTGATTCGACAGGTAGAGCCATCTCTAGAGTCAGAAACGAGTGAGGAGGTGGGTCCATATAAACCTTAACTGAAAACCCTACTGGTGAACAAAACCAACGCAAAGTGCACCCCACTTGCCACTTTCATTTCACGAAATAAACTGACCTGTCGGCATCTGTCGGCATCTGTCGGCATCTGTCGGCACCTGTCGGCACCTGTCGGCACCTGTTGGCACCATCCGTACCCGTTGCGTCTATCGGTATGATGTGCGTAAGCAAGCTCCATCTATTTTCAATAACGTAAAAGTTGCTTCAATAAATACTATTCTTGAAATGAGATTAATCAATTATCCATTTGTGTCGAGTCAGACCAAAGTTGTTTTAATAAGCATTATTCTTGTATTAAAAATAACGAATTATTCTATAAAAACTATATTGATCATAAAACCAAGAATAGCACAAAGTTTCGTACAAATATGCGTATTATTTTATATGAATTTCTAAAATTATACTTGATTCTATAAAAAAATCCTTCTTGTTTTAATATTTATTATAATTCGTCTAATAGGTGAGGCGTTCTTCAAACAATATTTTTATATTCTAGTGTAAAATATTTTAGGCATTGTTGCAACTAACTAAACAATTGAACTTTAAGAGTAATCAAATATTTAAATCAGTAATATTATTTTATTCACTAAAGCAGATTAATGTTGATTTAACTCTTATTTTTCAAGTAGGTGCATAATCTTGAATATGGAAGATAATTTTTTCCGTGGAGTCAAATTTTTCCTCTAATAATTTGAGCGGCCAAAAATGAACGTTACAGAAGGGCTCGTAAATCTAAGGGGGTTGCGACATAGTCTTCTAACTTTCACGATATTTTTATTTGAGATAGTAGTCTCTAGCCTGCCAATTTATAGAAAATGTATAAGCGTTTTTTTTTAATAATATTTGTATTGTGTTCGATATAAATGATTTAAATTTAATCCATTATTTAAGATTTCACGTATTGTAGATAGACTATATCATATGTCGCAACCCTTTAGATACACCAAACCTTATCACGGCGTTTTATTTGTTTAGAATGCCTACTTTCTTCTGACAGTTGGTTAGTAACTAAGTGTTACCAAATGGAATATTTTGCGAAAAAAATCCCGAACAACGACCATAAAAAAATTAAAAAAAAAACGGTAAATAAAGCCTTAAATCGAGAAAATAGTATGAAACACGTTGAGAAGGCTACTCTTTCACTCATAAGTTGGCGCAGAAATATGTGGCCTTCTGCAACTTGTATTTTAATATACTATTTGTTACTTTTGTTTTTAGTTTTCACATGTTAGATTTGTCTTGTTACATTTTAGTAATTATTCGTATAAAAAGTTATAAGAGTATTTAAAACAGAACAGATAGGAAAAACTTAAGTACTAAATTATTTAAATATTTTCCAATATACCAAGGTAGTCACCGATGTTTATGTTCGGTGGTACAGTCAAGCATGATCCAAGGCTATTGTATCTTGGATAAAACGATACTTTTCTCTTATTTTTTTACCCCCAATGTCGAATTAATTTGAAAAATAAAGTCGTAAATACTAAAAGTAGGTAAGTTAAACCATAATGTAAATTTTAACAATGTTCAAAAAAATCTCCACTTGTCAAATATTCTGATCAAAAGAACAATACCTCCCCTTACCATTTTAAAAACCAAGAGGAATTAAAACCAGAAAAGCAATTTTTTTAAAGGCAAAATAATTTTTTTTTTATGTATGTTTAGCGATAATTCTTTAACACGATGTCCGATTTCAATAAATCTTTTTTTGTTAGAAAGGGGCTACTTCAGGGGTGGTCCCATACAAATTTGGTCAAAATTTAATAATTGGGTTCATGAGAAAATCCTCAAACTCTTCATTTTTTATGTATGTTTATCGATGCTTTACCACCTTGTCCGATTTTTGATTTTTTTTGTTAGTAAGGGGATACTTCAGGGGTGATCCCATATAAATTTTGTCAAAATTTAATAATTGGGTCCATGAGAAAATCCTCAAACTCTTCATTTTTTATGTATGTTTAGCGATAATGCTTTACCTCCTTGTCCGATATATATAATTCTTTTTTTGTTAGTGAGGGGGTACCTCAGGGGTGGTCCCATATAAATTTGGTTAAGATATGGTTATGGCATCTGCACGTTTTTGAAGCAGGTTTTTTTAAATTTTTAATTTCTAATGCTTGTAAATTTCGCGAAATTGACTGTAGTTGTCATGTTTAATGACAGCCCAGTCAATTTTCTATGTAAGTCAATGTAAAATAAAGTACAAGTAACATGAATGACGAAAAACATCAAAGCAAGATTTACGTCGTTTTAGATTGTAAAACAGGATAAAAATCAAATGTAAAACTAAAGAAAACACAAGAAGAAATCAATTCAATGTCTTTTTAAATCTTCTAATGTAAGTAAAATAATATATTCATGTCTAAATATAATATGTAATCTAAACTAGTCACAATATGTATCTTACGAAGTTGATACCAAATATTATGAGACTATTTTTACTGATGGTACTGTAAGCAAAAAAAAAGGAGGAAGCTGAAATTGAAGGATGAGGTAATACCATTACATTCCCAAATCTCCCTTTATACTTGTATTACAACAATAAAAAATCTGTTCACTGTGTTTTATTTTACTCTTAAAACTATATATTTAAAAAAAAAAAATTGACACAAAATTGTACTTATCAAATTTCAGCATTTAAGAAACCTTTTCGAATTTGGTCATACGTACCTAATTTGTATTTTATATAGATACAATTTAATAATTTATCAATTAAAACATGCAAGACTTATTTAGAAATAAATACAACAGTATGTTTTGTGCTTTATTTAGCTATAAACAAGTTTATTTTTATTATTTTGACAAAATTATGTATAATTCCCTTAAGAAACCTTGTATTTTGAACAGCGTATGCAGTACCAGCGCCCATGCGGTTAATTATAGAAACTTAATTAGCACGCGTTTTTTGGGACAGTATTTTGAGTATGCCGATTCGTCTCCTTATCTCTAGTCTTCATAGTCTTGCCGTAGCGATTTGAAGAAATAAACCAACACTTTATCTCACTGTAAAAATCAAATATTTTATCCGCTGCTAATATTTATTAACTGATTTGTTTTTTATTGCCTGTTATTTTTCTTTTTGTTCACTTTCTGATACTTAAATGTCATGTTATAATATATTTTTATTTATTAATTATAATTATTTATGGTTGGCTATAAAAGTTAATATGGACCACGTCAGCAAAGTGTCTTTATCGAACTCGCCTGGTACTCGCCTAGCTTGCTTCTCTCGCTCGGCTCATAATCTCACATAGTTCGTCACTTTGCTGACTTGAAACATAAATAACTATAATATTATGTAACATTGATGTTGGATTTCATTAAGAAAATTGACCAAATTGAGATTATGGATAATTTATTACCCTTAAAAAATAATAATTTTTACTCATCTGGTATAAAGCACTTTTTCTCGATCGGATCGGCAAAAAATTGTTAATTTATTGCAATCTATAAATAGAACAATAAAATAATATAATATAAATTGATGAATTATTCAAATTGTAACGTACAAGCCTTTAGGGTTGCCCCACAGTTCATCAGAATATTTAATTTAAATACAAGAAGAATAATTATTCAATAAAATAAAATTATATCAATTAAATTTAACTAATTAATTCTATTATTTTAGGTTTCCTACTAAAATGTAAATTAGTATGGGAAATTTTAACAATACAGTGGAACATAAAATAGTGATGGATATGAAACATAGGTAGATTTATTTAGTGAAAATAAATTACAAACTAGAATGTAGATATACCGCACTTATCATTTTGTATCAAGCATAGCGTAGTTGTAACCCTATTGCCATTTTATTAGATTAGAGTAGATTGGGAGTTGGACGTTGTTTGGTCTTGTCTACTAAGACCTTTTCAGTTCTATTTTGAGACTCGATTTGTTTTAGAGTATGTCGTCTAGCTTGGTCTTTTTTATTAGACTTAGTAGCTTTGACAGTGGCTCCCTCATGTAGTTGCATGCATTTGGCTTTTCTTCGCCCAATGATAGAAACCTCATTCCAGCCAGGACTTCACATTGGTACATGACGTGGAATGATATTTTCTCTTCTTATTCACAGAACCTGCACAAAGTTGCTTCTTCTGCTGGATTAATGACACTCATGTGCATTTTGAGGCGACAGTGTCCAGTAAGAAGGCCTACTGTTTTGATTCGGCAGGTCTTTCGTAAACTTGGTCGATGGTTCCTTGATCAACTGTTTGGCATGTCTCAGTCTTGTATAGTTGTTCCACCATTCCTAAGACTCTTTTTGTATTCATTATTTAATGTATGCCTTGCACAATGCCTTAGCAACTCCACAGAAGGGTTCGGGGTTTGTCATGGCCATATCTGACCCTTCTCGGGCTAAGTCGTCGGCCTTTTGGTTGCTCTGATATCCCTCATGGCCTGGCACTCAGGCTAGGGTCGCCTTATTTTGACTACTTAGCTCTAACAGGTCTTCTAGACAGTCTTTCACCAGTCATGATTTGATTTCTGGTGAGAGAATTGCCTTTAGAGCTGCTTGGCTATCAGAGTATATGACAATAGTTTTGCCTGATACTTGCAAAGTGATGTATGGCTAATATTTTAGCCTGGAACACTGTTGCATATTTTTCTGAATTCAGCGAAATCGTTGTTTTCGACTTGGGTCCATAGATTCCAGCACCGGCTCCATCCTTGGTTTTTGAACCGTCTGTGTACCAGACGAGTTTAGCCTGTACGGGAGGTCTCTGTGTCCAGGATTCTCGGGCTGGTATTTGAATTTGAAAAATTCTTTTAATTTTGTATATGGTTATGGCTACATCAGTAGGCATAGCTTGAATATTATCCCTTTTTACTTGCTGATATAGCCTTGTGTGATCGGCGCTATGCAGTTGACTCATTGGGTTTTGTCCATGCATTAGCCTGTAAATAGCTGACCTGGTTTCTCCTTGCATGAAGATGTGCAGTGGCGTGAGATTTAATAATACTTCCATTGCTGCAGTCGGCATAGTGCGCATGGCCCCAGTAGCACTTAGATAGGCAAGCCGCTGAATGTCAATTGCACTTGCCTGCACAGTTTTGGTTACCCATGTCACTGCGCCATAGGTTATTATGGGTCTTATTATCCTTGTGGATAACCATATGGTCATTTTGGGATTTAGACATCAGTTCTTCCCACATATTCTTCTACAGCTTACGAGAGCT